GCAGACGTGCCCAAGACAGAGCACGACCCATGTGGGATTTCCAACCTGCGGATGGAGCGTCCATACGCCTTCAAACCTCTCCTCACTGCAATATGGGTCCTGGGAAATTGGCCACTGGGAGTGTGCATGGATCCAAGGATACTAGGAGGGATAGAAGCATTATCAATTGGTGTGATGCTTGCAAGGATGGCGCTGATATCAATCAGGCCACCAAATCGACCGTACGTGCAGCGAGTGGATAAACTCCTGGCCTTACAAGAATGCCTTCGAGATTCAGACAACAGCCGCATCATGCAGATTGCCAGAGGATGGCAGCAATTTGATGCGTGGATGGAGGTCGACCGCATTGGCAGATTTGGATGGACGTTATCCAATGCGCAGATTGTGCAGTGCCATTCAGATATCAGGCCATGCGTAGCCAGACCTTCTAATTCGCAAAAGCATTTAATCTTTCCGTGGCTTCAGCGGAAAAGGGCATGGAATTTCTTTGTGCTGGAGTCTATCTGCGCAGCTGCTGGAAGATGATGAGACCATCCACACTGTATTTCAGGCATCCATGGAAATAGTTGCGCACATTTCTGGCCACCTGAAGTGCACTAGATATCTTAGCATGGTGTGTTTGACACTGGGTTTTAAGCTTTGCGCAGAATGGACTCTCGGCCCCCAGCATTGTATGTATCAGACCGTGAATGTAAAACTTGTCTATCTTTCACAATGAGCCATCATTTTTGATGCTATTGCTGCTTTTCCTTACATCGTTTGATTGTTTCTTGTCATCGTCAGGATTCTTCAACCGCGCTATCTGTTAGATGCTGCCGTGTACATGCGTGAGGCAAAATGCAATTTTCATTGAGCATACCAGATTTTGCTCTTAAGCCATAGCCGGGGGCAAGTGCATGCTTGCAAAACAAAAGCACCACAAGGCCCAAGATTTGCAGTAGCAGTGAGCGTTGTGAAAGTTGTTGGCGTGTTGAGATAATAAAAACGCTTCCACTTGAAACAATTTCAATTGAGGAGAGAAGAAGACTGAAGGTAGTCTGAGAACAAAGCCATATGCGGGAAGTCCTGCAGCGAATAAATTAACCTCATGGTGGAATACACAATGCTTGTGTCTTGATTTCCTTTCTGATTTCCTGTCGTCACTAACTGTGGGTTCTTGTGTATGAGGTGACATAAGCGGTACAGCCTTAGCCTTAGTGCATATGGACATAAAAATGTCATGTTTATATTCGCATGCCAAGGCCACGTTTATTCAATGTATTTAAATGGCGACTGTAGCCGGTCCAGTGATAGAGGGGCTCGCCATCAAACGCGGATGTATGAGCTCAGAAGCTCAAAGGGTTGTACACAAGCATGGTACGTTATGCTCCATTCCGTTGGCTGTGTTTCCGACCAAATGGCACTGAATTGTACTTGCTTCATCTATGGCGACAACTGACCAGGGGCATAAACTTGTAATTGACATCGCAATGTTTCCGATGCATGCATGCATATTGAAAATTGATGCCCATTTCAGGTATTACTTTGATAGATGTTTTGCATGTGTTGCACGCAACGCGCTCCCATTGGGAGGATGATAGCATTGCCATCGCGCAGTTTGCCGCGGTCCATATGCAGTTGCAATTCATATTTGATGCGTTAGGGAAGACACTATTTTGAATTTGGTACGCTTAAACTCCAATTGACGTAAAGGGGTGGCAGGTGGGTTTTCCAGCCATTGACGCTAAAAGATTGCATAGTTGCACTAAATCAAAGTAAGGTGGGAAGATGCACAAAAACGCTGCTGATCAGCGGCAAATAGCTCATAACTTATTGGCAAACCTTCCTCAAGCTTTCAATCATCAAGGCAATCCTTAGAATGCATCAATTTTCAGGCTTTTTTGGGCTGCTCTCATCGCCTGTCATCGCCTTTTTCAAATCACGGCAGTCACCACAATTTCGGTCGTTTTTCACCTTAAAACCATTTTGAAGTTGTATGGCATTGTTAGGTAATGCCGCTGAGTTATCCTGGAATCGAAACAAGGACTGACACTAAGGAGGGGTGAATTGAGCTTAACGTCACATTGACGCTAAGCGTACCAAAATCAAATAGTCTCTTCCCTTAATATGTTGATCATGATAGACTGTAGCACTTTGGTACAACGATATACGCACCGTCATGTATTCACTGCAATAGTTCACACGCCACTGGACATATTGCAACCTGCAAGGCGTACACCTTCCTTAAGCTTATGCAGTGTAGATGAGCAGGTCAGACCCTCAAGAATTGGCAATTTAGCAGATCTCCAAGGGGGCCGGGATACAGACGACCCGCCAATATTCTATTGAGCTCGTGGATTTCTGCCACTGTTTGTTCTGAATCGTTGATGCTTGTTGCAAAATTTCTGCCCGTTTTGCACCGGAAACCCATTATTGCACCGGTGCATTACAAATCAATGCAGACTTGGTTCCTTGCGTGAACCAACCAAAAAGCTGCTCGCAACCACAAACACTGGAAAGCGCCAAGTGACTCTTTGTGCATGACCAATGCCACCATAGCTGCGTGTGTGGTTTGGGTGACATCTGCAACATCACAAGGATTGGGTGTGCTGCACAACCACAGGGGAAGCAAGGGCAAAAGAGTAGCAGGCAGCCGGATATGCACGACACCACCATAAACAACCAAATAGATGCTTGATGACCGGCACACCATTCCTGTCCATAGCTGTGCCAATGCAGCTCAAGTCCTAAAGTCGTCGACATCAACTCCAAAATTCGAGACGTCTTTTAGTGGCGTTGTTTGTTTTTTGGGATCACGCAATGACAGACGGAAGAGTTCCTGAGTTCTACAAAGTTATTTCGGTCGGGGAGCTGAGGCTTGCATTGGCCCGCAATCAGTCACGTTTGACAGCGAAGGGCAATGGGGACGTCCCAACCTCGCTCCAAAAGCGCCTTTGGCTGAGTGCAATAGCCCCCATCCGGACGGTCATCGGTCGCTTCCACCGCCACGTGTCACACGTGGCCAACCTGCAGGCGCAAATTCCACCCCAGTGGCGTCCGAACCCACTCCGCCGTCTTGCCCCGCCCCACCCCCTTGCCCCGACCATCCCTCGCCCGCCCGCCATGGCAACTTTCTCTTGCGGTAGGTCGCCGTCACTGGCAAAGGCTTCCGCCCCAAGTACCGGCAACAAGTCCGGCCCGGCTGCGCAACTGAGGGAAGCCGGCCGCCGTCGGTTCCTGGGGGCGGGATCGTTCCTGGCGGGAGGCGCGCCGCTGCAGGTCACGGCGGCCCACTCTCAGCAGAAGGCCGCCGGAAGGAAGATCGACGCCGTCGTGTGAGTCTAGAGGGTCTGCAATATGCGCTCGACCTGCGATCCTCGGCCATTCGATACATCCTTGCTCATGGATGCCTCTCTCGAGGGGGGGCCATGCATTCTGCCTGCGTTCGACTTTGTGCAATTAATGGGAGCTGTCACTGGAAAACACAGTCATTGTGGGTGTCCTCGGCTTCGCTCCATTTCCCGGACGGCATCGACGAAAGACAAGGGGCTGTGTGAGCCATTGTGTTATATGTCTCCACGGCGGGCTGCCCAGTGTTGTCTAGTTTTGTCGCTGATTCAATGACTTTTGCAATGGCGACAGAGCGGCGGCAAGCGTAGCCATGGAATCTGGACTTCAGACGCCGCACGGCGGGATCCTCACGGAATTGATGCTGCCGGAAGCTGACAAGGCCGCCGCAGCGGCATCCTGCACCAAGACCATGGAACTCAGCGACAGGAACGCCTGTGATGTGGAACTCCTCATCGTGGGGTGAGTACGCAAGCCTGCTTAGCCTACCGAAATTTGTCCCGCTGCTATTATCGAAGCCCGACATGACTCAATGTGTGAAAGGCAGTATTGGGTCGTATTGTTGGAACAGGAATCAGCAGATTGTCTTTGTAAAGAGGGGTGGGTTTGGGTGGGTTGGGTTGGGTTGGGTAGGTGGATGGTTTTCTGTAGTTTCTTTCATATAGTTCCTGCATACACTGTGTGGGGAGTCATCGCCAATGGCTACGGTGGCCGACGGGTGTGCTGGCTGGGAATCAGGTGGGAACAGGTTTTGCAGTAGATTTGCTTCGCCATTGCCCCAGCTGCGCTCGTTCGAAACTGCAAAGCCACAAGAGTAAGTGTTAGTGTTGAAGTTTGGCCCCTGCGCAGTGCACTGTTCCAAATGTGCCTGGATACTTTTGTTGGTCACATATCACCGGGAATCGTTCAATGAAACTGAATGTGCTGTGATGTGCGCCAGGGGTTTTTCTCCATTGGAAGGTTTCATGAACGAGGACGAGTACAACTCCGTGGTGGAGACCATGCACACAACTGTGGGTGATTATTTATCGATGTATACGTTTATCAATGCAGGCTGTGTTTGTGCCAATAGCCCAGCGATTGTTTGCCCCACACAGCCTTGTACCCAATGGTGGTGGATGTCAGCAGATAGTACTAATGTGTAGCAGCTTGCACAAGTGCAGCCAACAGATTTTGCATATCAAGGATGCGGACACATATCAACCAGAAGCCTTGTGGTCTGACCATCTTGTTGGCTCACTCGGAATAGTCTTTGGCAGTTTTTGATGGAATCCAAAACCCTGCAGGTGCTTGGCCTGTCTGTGGCTGATAAACTGTGTGCACTGCCTCCCAGAGTGGTGTCATGTTCGGCCTGCCCATTGTGCTTGACACCTCAGATGAAGCCATTGCCGTGGGAGACAAGATCCTGCTGCAATATCAAGGTGCAGATCTGGCCATTTTGACAGTTGACAGCAAATGGACTCCCAACAAGCCTCTCGAGTGCCTAAAGTGCTATGGTACCTCGCAGCTGGAGCACCCTGCCGTCCAAATGGTGTCCATGGAGAGGGGAAAGTACTATATTGGTAAGTCTATGCATCTGGCCTTTGGTGTGCCTCAAATGTGCAATGCTCAACTGTTCACATTGTGTGTGTGCTGCAGCGAAGGGTTGTTCAGATACGCACTCAATGCATTGGTCCAACACTCCAACTCGCGGCTGTGTGGCAGATGATCAACCTACAGCACTGCCTGCCCTGGACCTGTGAATCTGGCATGGTACTGTGGACAAGCCCTGTGCAAGAGCGATGGGAACACCTCTTTGCCTGAATTCATTGGCCTGAGTGCAGTGTCGGCTTGGGGGCAAAGGCTCCCAGATATTCAAACTGACCAGTTGGCCTCTCACCTTTCTACTCATGCTCTGTGCATGCTTGTCCGTGCCAGGTGGAAAGATCCAGGGCCTTGCCCTCCCCGAGCGTGTATTTCCTTGTGCCACCCCCCGTGACGTGCGGGCCACCCTTCCTCCAGGCAAGGACGTCTTGGCCTTCCAATGCCGCAATCCGATCCACCGGGCACACTATGAGCTCTTCACACGGGCCATCGATGCGGACAATGTTGGAGAGGGTGCCGTGTGCCTCGTCCACCCCACCTGCGGGCCCACCCAGGATGATGACATTCCCGGCATCGTCCGGTACCACACTTATGAGGTGCTGAAGCAGGAGACTAGCAACCCAGCCTTGCGGTGGGCATACTTGCCTTATTCCATGCACATGGCAGGCCCGCGGGAAGCTATCCAGCACATGATCATCAGAAAGAACTATGGTGAGTCTTTCTGTGCTATAAGTGTTGTGCTCCTGTAGCTTTTGGAGTCATTTGAACAATCCTGCAGAGTGCAAAGAGGAATCTGACAAACTTTCTTGCCGAGAAGAGGGACTGTGTTGTATGGTGGGTGTGCTTCTGTCAGCTGGGATCGTCTTTGGTGAGCCAGACAGCAATTGCTGCGGCAATTGTATTCAAAACCCCTAGTGGAACGTTTGTCCCTCCACGAAAACCATCGCATCCCCAGTACTCTTGAAGCAGGTCCACATTTGTTCACTCAGCCATTGATTTCTCCTTGGAAACTGTGGTGATACTGCTGACTCATGACCCGCACCTCTTCCATGTTATTGCCTGCAGAACCTTTGGTGACACAGTTGCACTGACAGACGTTCCCCATGTACTCACTACAAGTTGACACTGTGCGCAACGATGGAGCAGGGTGCACGCACTTCATCATCGGCCGTGACATGGCTGGCTCCAAGAGCACTGTGACCGGAGAGGACTTCTATGGCCCCTACGAAGCCCAAGACTTTGCGGCAAAGAATGCACCTGAGCTGGGTATGCAGACTGTGCCTTCTCTCAACATTGCATACACTGAGGAGAAGGGCTATGTGACTGCTGATGTTGCTGAAAAGGAGGGTCTGCACACAGTCAAGCTTTCAGGTGAGGGGCCCCAATTGATGCACAGCCCAAAGTTGCAGTTTACGATGACCTCACAGCTACCAGGCTGTGGCAAATTCAGTTTTGCTTGCCATTTTTGTTATCAATCAACTCGTATGTGTCGTCAACTCGATTCACTGTTGCCCTCATAGCGTCTATGTTTGGGCACTATTTATTGGATGTCTGAGACAGTCTGGTATTTGTCAGCATAAGGTATGTCACAGCTTGTGGCCTGACACTTGTCAATTGGATCTTGTACAATGAATCCTGCATTTGTGCTCCCCAGCATAGGACCTTGTTGTGCGTTTGCTCGAAAGTATGGCCTGTGTTTATGTTTTAAGATGTGTTTGCCACATATCTGGACCTTCGATGAAGGAAGCCTGAAGTTTTCTTTATTGCAGGCACACAATTTCGGAAAATGCTGCGTGCTGGGGAGGAGATCCCAGAGTGGTTTGCATTCAAATCGGTTGTGAAGGTCCTTCGGGAGGAAATGGCAAACCTCTGAGCTACAGACTTGGGAGACATGGTTGAAAGGAGGGCTGCTTTGTCTGTGCAAGCAGCCAGAGATTTCAAAGCTGTGGCACTCTGGTGCCATCTGTTTCCGCTGCTATTATGAGTAGCAATTCTTTGTTATTCTTTGATGGGAGGATGGGAGCAATTTCGCCACTGCGCAGAGCTTCACACACATTGTACATCCGAGCATTGTTGGGAACTAGGGAGCTGAGTGCTGCAGTTGGCACACACGCTCGGAATGATATTTGTGGCGACCCAGTATTTGCAAATCCGTTGTTTGACAAATTGAAATCGTCTGTCCTCATCTGGCCAGCCATGCAGGTGACGCAAGAGTGCAGACACGCTGAGAGCCGATGCTTTTCCCAAAGTTGCACACATTGGGCGCTCAACGCCAAGGCTGAGGCTAACCCTCTGCTGTGGCAGCTGGGGCCCCAACTGTCTGATCTTGAGGCACCATCGTTTGGTAGTACTCCCTCACCGTGGCTTGGGGCGCTGTGACGCAGATCTTTGACATAGCACATGTGCGTCTCAAGACATATCGACCAGGCGTCACGTCCCATGACGCATCCTCCACAAGGCTCTTTGTCGAATGGCCCTCATGCCCATGATTGCTGTCGCTATTGAGAGAGTGAACCAGATGAAGGCATAGTTCAGATGGTCTCCTGAGCAGTGTCAGAATAAGGATTTCAACAACAGAACCTCAGCTGGAGTACCACAGCAAGTTTGCCAGACAATGACTGTTAGCCTTGCCAGCTTGGCAACGTATTCTGCACAGCCATGTGCCATGGGGCGCAGCTTCAGTAGTTGACAAGGTAATTTCTTTCATTCGTTCCTGCAGGTCTGGCTTGCTGGGTGGAACTAGCGGATGCATCTCATCCATGCTAGCGACACGCAGTTGCCAATAAGCCTGCCCAACTGATCGGAGCAGCCTCATTGCAGAAAAGGGATTGAAACGTCTGAAGCAACAAAAGGACAGCAATGTCCATTATTCCAGGATGTCCATGGTGCAGGGATCTCAACACGTGTGAAGAGAGACTAATGTGATGTCCAGTTGTCCAGGCGTTCCATTCCACGATTGCAGACCATCAAGTTACTTACTGGGCATCACGGTGAACTGCACGAACTCGTCCAGGCGCTTGGCCACTGGATACGCATCAGGCATGGGTGCGCCTATGACGCCTCCCGTTGCAGAGTCTGGATGGCAAATGCAACATACTTGGGAACAGGCAGGTGGCCATCCAAAGGCAAGGCGAAGATGCACAAGTCTGGGAAGATTCTCGTCATGATCGTTGGAGAAATTGGCAGAAGGCTGCAGGCTCATCGTCGACGTGAGAAGTCAGCCAAACACGAGACACGCGCAGATCTGCACATCATGGGACGTCTACTTTGATTTGACATTGACATCTGCTACATTCACCTACTGACGAGCTTGCTGGCTCACTTGCAGCATCTGCAAGATGGCAATGACCTTTACCACGCACCAATGAGCTCCACCGCCTCGGTGTCACTGCCTTTGTCAAGGACTTGCACCATCACCGTTTCCTCAGGCAGCCCACACGACTTCGCCTGCAAAACATCCAGAACCAGAAACTCTCAGTCCAGCCAGACAGCCACAACTGGATCGCATCATTATCCATTCTTTCGTAGGTCCACAGCGACAGCACAGCCACCATTGAGGGATGAGATTCGAGGACATATGGCCATTCTTGAGATGTGCCATCACATGACCGGCACATAACACTTGATCAGTGTTGAAACTTCACACAATCGGATTAGAGCAACAAGAGAGGCAGCCGTTTCCAGAGCACAGCAGATACCTGGTACTGGTAAAAATTTGAGATCCTTGTGGCACGCGGTAATGACTGCTATGCAATGGTCAGATTCACGTTGGAGGGCACTCTTGGCTGTTTGCACACCTACAATTTCTGGAACATCGATCCAGAACCAGGATCCCTGCTTTGGTGTGTTTTGTGGAACGAAGTAGCTCGGCACTTCACTGCGCATGACGACCCCTTCTACAACAGATTCGCCTTCGGTTTTTGCAGCCAAGGCCGTTGCCTCTTCTGCCAACTCTGGATTGCGAGATTTCTTCTTCCAGCTCTCTGGCACCCAGCCTCGACACACAAGTATGGCTCGATCCCTCCAAGACAGCGACGACTGCTCCCTGTGTGCGCACCACAAAAGCCACACGTGCTTCTGTACGATATGAGAGTGTCAGGTGACTTGAAGATTCCACCAAAGCCAGGACCTTCTGACACCTAGCAGGTGAAAGCCCTGACTTGCCATCCTTGGACGCACAAATCAATCAGGACGAAAACCAAGGCAAGGGCTTCAGGGCAACTTTCGATCAGGGACAACACCAATTCGAACAAATAATCAACTGCACCAAATCATGCAGCAATGGCACGGCAGCTATCAAGCAGAGCGTGTCAGCCAGTTGTGTTTGATAACTGCCTTGCATGTGTTTCACTGGCTGCACACAGCAAGGATTCGATTGCCTGCTACATGTACAACATCCTACGAACAAATGTGACGGGACTTGCAGCTAGGCTGTTGGTGCCCAGAGACTGGCGATTGAGGAGGCACACCCAGGGGTCGTGCACATTCTCACCAAGCAGACATGGACATTGGCGTCACCATCACGTATCCCAATTGCACATCTGGCCCAGAGGTTCTGCAGAAGGAACACCATAATATAAGAAGTGCTGTTGAAAAATGGCATTGACTACAGCTCATTCTGTTGCCTCCCTTTGCATTCTTGCACAAATCGCAACCCAGTTCTTTACAGCACCTTATGCAGTCCCCGTGCAAATTACTCTGATATAGCGATAAGTCAAAGATGCAACCCATGAAATGCCTATGTGTTATCGCACTTGATCTGTAAGGAATATCAATTTGGTTCAGCCCAGGCCCCCCTGCAGTCTGTGGTGGAGACTCAGCCCTTCCTGCTTCATCTCCACAGATGCTGTTTCTCTGTTCTTGTTTGAAAAATCAGCATCCGCCCCAGTTGTTGTTTCTGGTGTAGACACAGACTGCCAGTGAATAGTCATGCTCTTAGCGTCCTGAAACTGAAATAAGAGTCGGTAAGCAGAGTTGCGCTCCCTGAACTTTGAACAGGGTCTTGCCAGCCACATGCAGCGCCCAGTCAAGTTAACTGACCTTGAACGTATCACAGGAGCACTGATAATTTATGGCACAGATCTGAAGCTGTGAGGCTCAGGCCCTGGATTTTTGGAATGCAACAAGAACGTGATTGATGGCCAAAGGCTCTCCACACTAACAATAGGAAACGGCCACATTGAAGTGTGCCCTTTTTCTGTGCCTATGGACTGTGTTAAAGCATGGTGGTCACACTTGCGTAGCATTTTGTTTAAGTCAATGGACATACACATGAGCTTTGTGATGAAACAGAGGATGATGCAGAGAAATGCTGCCCATTACTGCCATGGTGGTGTGTAGGGCAGCATTTCATCCAGCCCTTGAAATGCGATCCAATGAGGTCTGCTTTTGCCCTGTCTACAAGGACAAGGACTTTGGCATTCAATCTTGTTGCGACCCCATTGGGGGAATCCTAACCTTTGTCAACTCACTTGCGAACCCTGGGGCCAACAAAGACTGAGTTCTCCTGAATCAGCTTCCCAACAGCACGGACATGTTGGAATTCGACAGGCTGGTCGATCGCCTGTATGTCAACTGGGTCCTCCTGGAGCTGCGCCTTGCGTCGCTCGATGAGGTCAGTCTGGACAGAAAGCCCAAAATTGGAGGATTGAGAAGCAAGGTCAAACTAGATACCAAGCCAAGGAAGTGGGATACCAGTTTAAGGTCTTTTAAGAGCCTACTGGTTTTGACAAGATCCAGAGAAGCATGCATCGAATGGCAGTACGGCGCACAGTTGCAATAGCAGTGAGTTCTTTTGCAGAGTGCAACCGCCAAAGTCAGGAAGTCTTACAACAGGAAAACTGAACAATAGGCAAAAGTGGAATTAGGAAACGAAATTGGGTGGATTGGAATGTGGAAGGCACATTATGAATTTGCACCACACGTCAACAAGCACATTGGACGTCTCGACAGCAAACGATCTGAGCCCTTGCCTGCGAGTCGAAAAGTATCGTTTCGTTGTGAAAGAAATTTCCTCCAAGCAGATGTTGACACCAATACTTTTGAAAACACTCATTGCCACTGCCAATGCAAGGTCAAGCATAATAATCATTCAAGTGTTTCAATCAAATGGTTTTCCTGTTGCACAAAGGCAGCCAAAATAGATATCTTCAGAAGGCTGATCTGCGAAATCGCGCACGCATTTCTATTGTGCAAGAGTGTCCGACTGTTCCTGAACATTTTCTTTATTTCTTCATGACCAATGCAATCACAAGAATCGCAGGAACAGGAGTTTGGACCTAGGCGCCGATCGCGGATGTCACCTTCCATTTTCTTCTATCCAGCTGCCAGAACCCCAGCGTGGCGGCAAACGCAGATGGCACGAACAGCAGGAGCCCGGTCCAGCCTTGGCAACAAACGAACTGGGGCCCGTCAACTCCCGGACAACGCATCTGATCGCCAACGCCAACAGTTTCCGAGCCAAACGAGTTGCGTTCTTCGCGTTCTTCAGTTCACCCAACAACACACCCAAGCCACGATCTCCCACGCAAACACTATTCAAAGAAACCGTGACGCATCCGTCGCCAAATCTCCAAGCAAAGAACAATCCCCAAAAAGCTTGCAAGGCGGACATGAGCCAACGCACCTCCCCCTCCGGCCACGACGGGCGCCGCGCACCCGCCCATCCCCCTCGCCCCCGCCCCCCAGTCCTCCGTCCACACGCCCAGCCGCCTCGCGGCGCCCCGCGCGGCTCGCGACCCAATCCCCCGCCACGGCATGACTCCCCCCAAACTGCGCGAAACTGTGACGCAGTCGCCAGTACATTCTAACCTGTGGGAGCAGCCTCACGGGCGACGCGGCACCCGCCTTTTCCCGCCCCCTTCAGTCCGCCTGCCCGCGCGGGACATGGAAACCGCCCTTTTCGTACCGGGAGGCCAGCCACCGTAGAACTTGGCGGGCCATGGGCCCAGGCTGCTTGGCGGGACGCACCCCCCACCGCACCCCCACCCCCCTCCGCCCCCCCCCGCCTTGGAGCTGCGCGGCGATGGCTCGACTACACGGCGTGCCATCCCCTGGCTTGCCCGAGCCAGTCATGCTCACCGTGATCCAGCAGTCGGCCCTGCCTACCGGGCAGCCGCCGCGGGCATGTGGAGCTGCAGCGGCATTCTGGGGCGGGCGCGGCGCGTCGATCGATGAGCTGGAGTCCGAGGATGGGGGTGGGAGGGCGTGGGGGGAGCGGGAGTGGGATGTCGTCGCCCTCGGCCAGGCGATGGTGGACATCGCTGCGAATGTTGATGAAGGGACGCTTGCGAAGCTGGGAGTTGGGAAGGGAAGCCGGAGGGTCGTCGGCCTGGAAGAGTGTTGGGAAATGCGGCGGTCGCTGGGGGGTGGGTACGACGTCCGCCAGGGCTGTTCGCTGGCCAACACGCTAGTGACTCTGGCGCGGCTGTCGGCGGCGGACGGCGGGTGGGGCGGCGCCGGGCTGCGCGTGGCATTCGGGGGTGCGATCGGCTCCGACCCCACGGGCGAGTTCTTCGAGTCGCAGCTGCGGAAGGCGGGCGTGGAGGTGCTGTCCGGCGGCGGCGGCCAGACGGGCTCCGTGCTTGTGCTGACGACCGCCGACGCCCAGAGGAGCTTCCTGGCCTACCCGGGCACATCTCGGTTGTGCCTGGAATCGAGATTGGAGGCCGCCGCGAGCAGCAGCCGCGTGCTGCTGCTCGAGGGCTACGTGCTGGAGCTGCCGGACGGGCTTGAATTCGCCCACAGGGCGCTGCGGATCGCCAGGGCGGGCGGCGCCCTCGTGGGGCTCACGGCTGGGGATCCCGGCCTGGTCGCGCGCCACAGGGAGGAGATGGCCGGCCTGATGGCCGCCGGACTGGACATGCTGTTTACCAATCACGCGGAGGCGGCCGCGCTTATCGGCGAGGAAGAGGGGGGGATTTCGGCCAAGGACGCGGCGGCGAGGCTGGCGAAGGATTGCCCGTTCGTCGTGGTGACGGACGGCAGCCACGGATCGGTCATCAGGGTGCCGGGAGCGGTGGCCGAGGTGCCGCCCTGCTGGGTCACGGACGCGCCTGTGGACACCTGCGGCGCAGGGGACGTGTACATGGGGGGCCTGCTGTACGGCTTCTTCAGGGGGATGGACTTGAGGGGCATCGGGCGGGTGGCGGCCAGGGCGGCGTCGCAGATCATCTGCAGGCAGGGGTCTGCTCTAACGGACGAGGAGGCGGCGGGCGTGGCGGCGAGCGTTGCGGCCGAGGAGAGCAACGAACGAGGCGAGGGGGCGGGGGAGAGGCCGGAGGAGCGCATCACCCAGCGCCTGGGGTCGTCCTGATGCCGGCGCAGAGGGAGGCGAAGGTCCCTTGATCACGACGGTTTGATGCGAAGATTTCTGGTGCGCGGTCGCCTGACGGGTGGCATGGGGCGGCATGGGGGGCTGTGGGGGCGGGGGGTAGGCGGGGGACGGGGGTGGGGATATGATTGCCGGCAGATGGATCTCTTTTAGTTCTGCCTTACCCCGCCTGCGGGGAAATGCAGCAGCGAGTGTGTATCAACTTGAGAGCGCCGTTCCCCTGGTTACTCCCAGGCGAATGCAGCGAGTGGTGCTGCAGGAAGAAAGAGCCGGTGGGAAGCATTGGTATAGGGTTGTCGTTTTGACTTCATCTTGGACACCTGTGGGATATTTTTGGGATCGAAAGAATGTCTTAAGAGAGATGCTGCGCTCACTGTTGCCGGGGGTTGTGCCTACGGGCCTGGCTGGGCGCTTTGGTAACTATGGGTTCCTGTTTTGACACTACAGATGGAAAGCAGGCAAATAGGTAGGGAGGTTCCGCTGACAGCGGCTCAAATGGAGAGTTGTTTTTTCAATTCTTTGTGTGTGCGCTGCATAATTCGGCGTACAAAGTTGTAAAATTCTACTTTCAGTAGTGGGGCACAGGAGTAGGATGAAAACCCCATCCATGTCTGCTTTGAGTATATATTGGTGTCTGGCCGTTTGTCGAAGGTAGGTAGGTGTACATCAACGACCAGGATTGATAGCAGCATGGCCTGACAGATTTTGCATTCATCCAAGCGCAGGGGTCCTAGAGATCCCTTCTGAACCTGCTGTCGGCATCGACCCATGGGATGAAAACGCATGTCAAGCGGCAACTCTTGCACATGTACAGGCGCTGCCGCGATACAATGCAAGGTAAATGTTGACAAAGAGAAGACCCATGCTTGCCCTTGGCTATCAGTGTCGTACCTAGTCTCCTCAGTGAGGGCAGTCATGGTGAGAAGAAAGGGCTTTAGGGTGCTGTGAGCATGTGTCTAATGCCACAATCGCAAGTGTGTATCCATTCTGTTCTGTGTTCTGATTGTCTTTCGATCAGTTGAAAAGAGGCGTTGCACTTGCTTCTGTATTTGGGAACGACTAGCTTCTGGTTTGGGAAGGGAATCATCCTCTTCAGTCGGTTGGCTTGTGGTGAGCACTGTGATTTTAAGATCATGCACGTTCCTGATAGTAGAAATGTGATCATTTTTCAGACTATCAGCCTCTGATTTGTGACACGTGGATGGGCGACGCGCCAGGAGCTTGTGGGTTGACTTTTGCAGTCTTCGCTGCCGGCAGTGGGGCACTGGGAGTTCTGAACCTTATGGTCGAGCGACTGGCTTGGAAGTTGGGCGAAGGGATCAGTGCACAGACAAGCACACTTTCAGGGAGAGCAATGGCTTGGTTTAGAACGAACCACGCTGGCGACTTCTACAAGGTCGGCTTTTTTAGGGGGAGCTCACCGCTGCCCTTTGCCTTGTATTTGTCCCCCCTTCCCAGGCGTAGTAGTGTTAAACTCACCACGCGAAATGGTACTTGTGATCAGCCAAAGTGCACAGCACCGAGTCCACTACTTAGCGTTTCAGTCGCGGTTTGGATTGGACGCGCAAGTGATGTGCCAATCGTGTGTGTTGGTAGCGAGAAAGAGCCCTACAAGCAGAAGTCAACAACGGGTCCCCACTCCCGCACGGACACGTGAACACTCCCACACTTTGCATGCTGGGCCCATGAGGGCACAAATTTTGCCTTTTCGTGATGCTTGTGCCGCTCGCACTGGGGGACTCCACATCAACCCCCCAGAGCATGGAGAAGAGTCCAAAGCACACTCGCCCAGGAGGGGCTGCCCTTTGCGGGACCTGTTTTCTCTTGGAAAATCACATCTCCAAGGGTGTTCCGGATACAGAGGATGAGCACGGAAGTGTGACGGAGACGGAGACCCTGTACGTGCACACCCTGAACCCTAACGCGCCGCCAACCAGTCCTGACCCGTCTCCGTCTCCGTGACCGTTTCGTAAAACACTTAACCGTGAAAAAACCGTAGCCCAAAACTCAACCGTGACCCGTCTCGTCTCCGTCATTTTCCCTTGCACATGGAAAAAAGCCGCACACCCACCACCCCCCTTTCGTCTTTTTTCTACGGACCTGTCGGAGAAGTCTCCCACTCGGCCTGTGGACCGCCAGCGTCCTCCGCGCCGATCCAGCTCCCATCGACTCGGGCGGGCCCCGCCGTCGCGCCCCAGGCGCCCAGCAGACGCCCCCGGCGACATGAATTGTCTGACTTCCGCCTTTCGGCGAGGCGTCATCCAGGCGATGGCCCTGGCGGAGGAGCCAGCCGCTGCGCAGGTGGGCGGGCAGGGAGGCGGGGCGCCCAGCGGGGGGCGCCTGCGCCCGATTTTGAGCCGCTCGGCACTGCCTGGAGACGGCCAACGATCCGGGAGCGAAGGGCGCGAGCCGGATGGCGACGTGTGCCTGTTTGCCGCGCGGTTGGCTCACGTCGGCGTGTGCGCAGAGGCTGGGCCGGTTGGCTGGTTCATTCTGGGGAGATCGGCCATCCTTGTTCTGGAGCTCGGCGCCATGCGGCGCGGACGTGACCACGGCCGGTGCCGACTTTGGGCACGCGACGGGGCTGGAGAGGTGGGGAATGGCCCGGGATCGGCTGCTGGGTCCCCGGCTGCCGTGGACCTGGTGACATTGGTGGGGTTCGCGGCGTGCGTGCGATTGACGGGCCGAACGCGGCGTCTTGTGTGTTCAGGGTGGAGATGGAAGCTGAGGCCAAGGGCGTGAGTCTCTTCGAGGAGGAATGGTGCGAATCATGTGTTGGCGGTGTGGGTGCAGTGAATGATCACAGATGGCTCGTTGGATGCCACGATCCTCAACAACTAGTCGCCTGGTTTATCTTTGGCTGCTACCTTCCCTGCACGTCCATCCCAGTGGCTTCCCCATTCTAAATTGTTCATTTTGTGCTTCCTGTGAGCCCGAGTGTTCGAATTGCAGAAGGGTTGATCGTTGGTGGAATGTGCAATGAGCACGGTGTGCGAAGCAAAGTGGGCAAATGGTCCCCTTATAGCAGACTGAAATGTGCTTAAGCACTCCAACGTGCGCTGAGGCCGAGACGCAGCAGACTCGAATCGAAACTCGCTTAAACATGCAGAACACGATCAACTTGTCCTTGCTGCTGGAACGCGAATGATGTGTTGGCTATGGTAGCTGATGTCTCCTTCATCACGTGGCATTTTACTGCTGCTGGGGCTGGTTTGTGCCAGGCTGAGCGCCCCTTTTGGAACGATCGACAAGCCTGTCCAAGTCACATCTTTCAACACCGAGCGCATAGTAGGAGTACCAGACCCTGATGACGACTCCATCGTTGTCTGGGGCATAATCAGAGAAAATGAACCTCCCAAGCAACTGGTCGAGAATGGTGAATATTTCATCCTGAAGAAGATGGACCCCGATGAATGGAACAAGGACCACTGACCATAGTTGTTGGTACCAGGCCTTGTCCCTGCTGTCTGCTGACTTTAATGGCAGTGCACGCTTGGAGGTTTGCTGTGAACGAGCTGTGGTCCATGACCTGCTTGCCAACGTAATGCCTGGGGGGTGTCATGGCCAGATCTGCAGGACATGTTGGAATAGACTAGATGTACAACAGCGCTGCATGCAAACATCGAGAAGATATGGATGTAGTGCCAGCAGCCTTGACGACATATTGCTTGTCCTTGTTCTCAATGCCAGCTGGCAACAGGTGCCCTGGTCAGCACGTGGCAGTTTGATACTTCCAGCATCTCTGCCATTGGGATGTGAACCACAGCTATCTCTTGGCATGATTACTTGCAGTTTTCAGTTGATCAGTGGTTTTGCCTGTCGGCATGTGTTGCCAGGACAGTTGAACAGTGTGCAACTCACCATATTGACCATACCACATCGTTGTGCAGACCGCTGAGATCAAAGACGTTGGACTTTGGTTCTAAGCATTTTTCGCTGCACCATTTGACCTGCTTTGGATGCCACTGTTCACTTTGCTGTTTCTTGCGACTGTTTCCATCTGACAAGCTATGGAAAGCAGTAGCCTCGTTCCTGTTTGGTGGGGTCAATACTGGTATCGTTGCTAGGTGTGATGCTTGCCTGCACACAGTGCCTTGCTGGCGTTGTGCTAGTCGATACAGCCCTAGTTGGCCATGATGAGGGTGCTGAATGCCCCCCACATCTGCACATTCATTCTACTGTCATTGTGCACGTCTTAACAGTGAACAATCAGCCAATTGATCTGCATGCAAGCGGGTCCTGTGAAATGCATATGAAAGTTGTGGAGCTTTTGTGGGCCTTCCTGGCAAAATGTCTTGCGCTTGCCGATCTGTTGTTTCTGATTATCAAATTGGTGGACTGCGGAGCTCGAAATTGAATGTGGTGGCCAAGAGTTGATGTTAGGTGTGCAGACACCTAAATCAGTAGCAGATCCTGCATAGAGTTATTCACCACTTGATCCGGCTCAGCAGCTGTTGTCTCGCATTCAGTTCCGGGTGAACATAACAGAATGCCATGATTGCTGAAAATATGCTCCAACCTACAATTGGTGCAGGTTACTGCTTGTTGCTCTACCTGCCAGGTGCAGCCAAGGGTGACTTTTAGCCCAGTTTCTTGTGATTCCAGTCATCATGCGCTGTTGGGCTGTCTGGCTGTCCTGCCGGTTCTTGATCAGGACAGGAGATTGCGCACCCAGGCGCTCTGTGGCGCATTTGCCAAGCACATAATATCCCCTTCATCATTTTGGTCCCAATGGGGAACATCTTGGCTTTCATCAGTAGTGATAGGCATGGAACCAAAAGGGATTCACTGCAAAGATATTGTGAAGCAGTTCTTGCCCCGACTTTCCCAGAATCGCCAAGCAACAATCCACTGGCAGCGGAGTCCCTGGATGCTGAGACGACAGGAAAAGGTACTTATTCTGTCCTGAAACAAATGAAACAATTTGTTTAAGAGGCTATATTTGTATCGCAAACTTAATAGTTTTCCTTTAAAATTGGAATAAGGCACTACCTACACATTTGCTATGTACTGCCAAATTTTTGTGGACAGTGGGTGAGTACCTAGCGGGTACTAAACCTAGCGGGTATATCAGAAATAGGATGATTCACCCTATTTCTGGCATGACCCTTGGGATCCAAGGGACCCTTGGGATCCAAGGGACCCTTGGGAGTGGGTATAAATATAAACACACTGGACTAGAGTTTGCAATCGAAGTTGTTGCCCAGTTTTGACTCAACCGGTCCCCGACTTGAGCAGAGAGAATGGGTTGTTTCCCATCCGGCCAAAAAGGGATTTCGCCCCTTACACCTTCCTCGCCATGTGGCCTGCTGTAGAGGCCGTCGTTGTCATGCCGTATTGGCCAAGCATGCTTTGCTTCCCGCCCATCTGGGCTCTTGCAGCGGAGGAGCTTCTGATTCCCTATCATCCTAGGATGTTTCTCCCTGTGGTGTAAAGCACACGAGGTAGTGTGTTTCCTTAGTTATGGGTATCTGGGAGGTAAAATAACTATTAATAGACAATGCATCCTTTAGTAGAGCTTACTAGGAATCCATAGGTTCTTGAATCAGGCCATTCGGGTTAGCGGTAGTGGAGATATAGCTGTTAGAAGTTCCAATACTTAAGGACCCCTCCGTAACCGTACTAGGGGATTAGAAATTATCTATACGGTGACGTTGGTTGCATTGTCACGTGATGCGGGGCATGCCAAAGGGTGGCCCCAATGCCCGACATATTGTAACTCTTGCTAACCATTCGCCTCCGCGCGGCTGCACTCGCGAGCCGCACCGGCGTCGCGCATCCACTGTGTGCACTCTCGCCCCGTGCCGGGCCGATCGCAGAACTGGGCCCACACTGCACACCCCAAAGGAACGAGCGCCCTGGACTGCCCACTAGAGGTGGCCACCCGGATCCATTAATAGCGGACAGAGGTTAATTTCCGTTAATTTTCCGTTAATTAACGGAAAATAACGAAAAAAGACAAAAATTAACCAAAAATTAGCGGATTTTTAGATTTTTTGGGGATTTTTGGGTTTTAGTCATGCTTATAGTTTATGGAATTCGGTATTAGAGAGTATGTTTGTATTTTATTTCAACCTATGCATACTAGATTTTCAACTAGCCGCAGTTGTTGTGATTTTTGGGTTTTTTTTCGATTTTTTTGGATTTTTTTCGTTTTTTCTGAATTTTTCTCCCTTTTTCTTTAACGAAATTTAACGGACAGCTGATAAAAATTAACGAACCGGATTTA